TTTGGTGCCACTTTGGCTCAATGCTATGGAAAGGAGTTGTAGTTTTAGAACAGTCTTAGCCTTCTCTGCCAAAGAATGCTGGAGCCTCACCGAACTACAAATGCCAGAATTCCATAGCATTGAGAGATGACAGTTAAAGTGTTGTCGAATTACACTAATCCTACAATGCGGGTGGACCCTATATCTCAGATAATAGTTTCCAATTTCAAAATAAACCAGGATCCTAAAGTGGAATGTATGTGTGGGCCAAGAATTAAGCAGCTTCCTTCTGCCTGCTGATCTGCTTGCCACTTCTTCCTCTTAAGTATCCTTCCTCTTGTATTTCCAGAGTATCATAACAAACTGGTATGGGAGAAGAACAATACATTTGTAGACAGACACAGCCTCTGTTTTGGCTTCTAGTTTTTACTTTCTCAGTGGAAAGACACTTTGAATAACAATGTAATGATGACTTCAAATGTGCAACATATGAAATAGGCTTAACAAAACTATACCTGAAAAAATTAAAAATAGATGTTGGATTTGCCCAGGCTTGGGGTCTGAAAGACTATATAGTTAGCAGACACTGAAAAAGGTACCAGTATGAGCATAAGTATTAAAGTGCAGCAGATTCTCAGTTATCCCAAATTCAAGTAACTGGAATGCTCAAGTAACCTGCAAAAACTATATAGAAAAAAATACTTCAAATAAAAATAAAAATAGACTCAATATTAGCAGAAATGTAAAACTGTGTTACATTAAGTTACAATTGTCTTGATTTGTTTTTATTTGCTTTTAATTGCTGTATTTCAATATTAATCTTGTCAATACAGAGTTTATGGTATAATATAGTATAAAGTATAGTATTAGGCTTTTCAAGCAACCAGAAAATATATTTATCCAGAACCTGCCAATCCCAATGAGTGCCAGTTAACTGCTGCCCTATCTACTCTGCCATATAATGCTGTTTCATAATGCAGTTTGACAACATTACATGGTAGTGTAGACAGGGCCTGAGAGTCTACTGTATTTCACTTTTTAAAAGATTACAATAAGTTCCTTTCTTCCATTTTCCATATTCCCATGCAGATTTTACAGTTTGACCATTTGGTCTGAACAGCAAGTACAATATCACACTAATAAATAATAATTGTCAATTTCCTCATCAACATGAGAAATAAAGTGATTGGTTTGGTTCTGATATGCTGAACCAGTTTCCAAACCTAAGTGCCATGGATTTCTAAGAAATATAGCTCTTTACGTAGCATAGGAATGTTGCCAGCAGTTATGATTAGATTAAACACTTAACATGATCTGGCAGCAAAGACAATTTCCAGAAGGGCAGTTCACTGTGTACAGTAGGAAGACAAGCAAAACTGGACAGCAGTGGGAAGTGCAGAGTCAGATAGCACTGCGCCATTGAAAAATAGCAAAGGCAAGTTATAAACCATCCAAGGCTGAAAGAGTCACAAAGTTTACACAGGGTTTCAAGTCAGGTGAAATGGCAAATCAGATGCACAAAGGCTAGTTAGCTCCAGAGACTCTTACATCATTGCATGAGTATATTTTAAAAATGAAACAGAGCTGTCATTTGGGACAGAGGCTGAACGACCATTGGTCTTCCAGACGTCATTGGATCCCAGTGACCATCAGTTCTAGCTATCCTAGACAATGCTGTGGGATAGTGGGAATTTCAGTCCAGCAACTTTTGGAGGGCTACAGGTTTTCCCCACCTCTCAACTAGAGGCTTCTTTCTGTGACATGAAGTATGCCTACATTAATTCAAGAAGACATAGAATATATTGTCAAAGGCTTTCATGGCTGGAATCACTGGGTTGTTGTAGGGGGGTTTTTTTTGGGCTATATGGCCATGTTCTAGAGGCATTCTCTCCTGACGTTTCGCCTGCATCTATGGCAAGCATCCTCAGAGGTAGTGAGGTCTGTTGGAACTAGGAAAATGGGTTTATATATCTGTGGAATGACCAGGGTGGGACAAAGAACTCTTGTCTGTTGGAGCTAGGCCATCAAATCTAATCAAGGTCGTCAGTTGAAACATTCACACCTAGCTCCAACAGACAAGAGTTCTTTGTCCCACCCTGGTCATTCCACAGATATATTAACCCATTTTCCTAGTTCCAACAGACCTCACTACCTCTGAGGATGCTTGCCATAGATGCAGGTGAAACATCAGGAGAGAATGCCTCTAGAACATGGCCATATAGCCCACAAAAACCTACAACAACCCAGATGTAGAATACCTGTATGAGTCCAACAAGCTCTAGATACATTCAGTTGTTAAGCTCTGTAAGTGCTCATTTGGAGCCAGAGACTGGTCACCAATTTAATAATGATAATAACAACAACAACAACAACTTTATTTTTGTACCCTGCTTTACATGTGGCCCAAGCCCAGTCAAAGAGTTCAAAAATGCAAAATAAAATGCATATACAACATCATACCACATAATTAAAACATAATTCAACATACAACAACCAGTAGCTGGGCATAATTGATGGTCCTGAATTAAGGGCAAGGGAAGGCTTGTGCAATGCAACTACCTGAACAAGGGTTGATGGTAAATGATAAATTAAGGTTGAAAGGGCCAAGTCAGGTTAATGCAGTGCAACTCCAGGGCAGGGACAATAGTAAAGTGCAAGAGTCGAGAATGAGGTTATGGCGAGGAGGGCTAGAAATTATGGCTAGAAAGGCCAATTCGTTTAGTGAACTGATTAATCAAAGAGCACATTGGAACAACCATGTTTTTAGGTCTTTATGGAAAGTGGACAGGGTGGGTGCTAATATAATCTCTTTAGGGAGAGAGTTCCAGAGCCAGGAGGCCACCACTGAGAAGGCCCTCTCTCTCATCCCCATCAACCGTGCTTGAGACGGAGGTGGGAGCGAGATGCCTCCCCAACAGATCTTAGAGCTCGCGCAGGTTAATAGGGAAAGATGTGATCACGAAGATAGGCTGAACACAAACTGTTTAGGGCTTTATAGGTAATAACCTGCACCATGAATTGGGACTGGAAACTTAATTTAACTAATTGCTGACAATTCAACCCTACACTGCAGGAGCAGCCCTAGTTGATTCTCCACTGTTCCACTTCCTCAGTTGCTTTTTAAATGTCCCCGTTTCCCCTTTCCTTCAATTTCTACCCATTATCCTGGCTTTCTTGCACACACTGAGTTCAAGGTACAAAGTACAGTAGTTAATTCATCAGGACAGAGAGAAGCAGAAAGAGTCTTGTCCTTCCAGGTTGGCCAAGGTTTTCCTAAACTCTGTATGTAAATTCCAGGGTATACCATTTTCAAATACAGTATTTTGTGTCTTTTTTGTTGATAACGTTTACTCTCTTTTTGCCTAAATAAACCCTTTTGGCCACACTCTGATATTGTATCTCAGTCTTCATCTATCAAATGTTGGAGGATGTGTGCTTACAAAAAGTTTAGGGGATACCACAGTCTGACAAAAAGACAAACCAATAGGTCCAAGAGTAAATAAAGTCTGGACTCTCTCCTCCGAAGCCAAGATGAATATACTGAAACTGTCATATTTTGGACACATGGGAAGATATGACACACTATAAAAGATAATAATATTTGGCAATATGGATGGCAGCAGGAAAAGAAGGACATATTAAAGGTGGATGGATTCAAGGAAGCCAGGCCCCTAAATCTGCAAGACTTGAGTAGGATAATAACATAACTTGGAAGTTTCTCATTCATAAGGCCACCATAAGTCAAAGTTGACTTGAAGGCAATTAACAATAGTGACAACAATGCCCCTATAAGTGAGGACATCTCAGCTCAGTTACAGTATTCTGACAAGCAAGGCTGTAATTAACTTTCCCTAACATACTCTGGACAAAATAATTGCCCCCCCCCCCTCTTTTTTTTGCATGGAATCACAATGCACTATTTGAAAAATTTCTCAGGAAGCAAGCAGCCTTCATTTCATTAATGACTGCTGGAGAGAAGACAGCCAACTACCGGGCCTTTGGTTGTGTCAGGAATGCCTCTTATCAGCTACAATTGAGATGTGTTCTAGGACGCAGCTGCAACTTGGCTGAGAAGGGAAAAAAACAACCGTAGCTGTGTGCCTGCTGAAACAGCACTCTGCATGAAGAACCAGCGGTATGTTTAGTCAGTCGTGCCACAAGCTCCACGCCCTCCACCACCAGTCAAGCCTCAGCTCCAGTGCAGAAACAAAATAAACTAGTAAGAGGAAGTGTGTGGTTAAAAACACCCGGGAGAACATACAGTTCTGTGTGGCTTTTTTGGGGCCTGTGTTGTATGGGAAAGAGGGCGAGGTTAACCTGTGGGAACAGGGCATGCTGGAGCAGGCAAATGCTTGCACCGTGTGGTGGCATGCCCCACCTGGTGCTGAAGCTCTGTTACATCCAGCAGGCAGGCCAAACCTACATAGGTTATTGCCAGATGTATGTAAGGCAGACTCTTCCAGTTTCCCACCTCTTAAATTTTCTTGCTTTTTCCTGCCGAGTTGCCCAGCCTCCTCTCCGATCACTGTACATTTACCAGGTAGAAGAAGGCTTTGGTTGTTTGATTATCATTAGTATTCAGGGGAGGCAGAGGGAACATGAATACTTGGCACATTCATAGTGGTTAGTCTGGGGAATGTGATATCTGCCTTCAGGTTTATCACAAGTTGCTTCTCTGTCCTTGTGATGAGTACACTAAGAGCTGATTCACATATACATGACTTGATATTTCTTCACTCAGTAAAGATTCTTGTGGCACCTTAAGGAGTAAAAGATTTATTATGGCATAAACTTTCGCAGACTGAGATCTTTCTATCAGATCTGTGAAGTGTTATCCTGGGTTGGTAGATTATGTAAATATATTATGCATACCTGTGCTTGCACACATGCATATTAAATGTGGAGAGTTCTAAGACTGTGACGTGAAAGGGGTAACAGCAAGTCCATGCAGAGCTCAACTGTGTACCAGATACAGAAAGAGTGACCCATTTTGCAATAGAAGAGAATAATCATCATCATAATTGTAATAATAATAACTTTATTTTTATATCCCGTCTCCATCTCCCCAAAGGGACTCGGGGTGTCTTACAAAGGGACAAGCCCGGAGAGCGCAGAGTTAAAACGTAATGCAATAAAATAAAAACAAAACAAAACCAAATAGAAACATATCACAATAAAACACAACATCATGAAAACAGTACCATGGAACAAGCAGACAAATGTCAGCATGCTGGAAGAAGCAAAGACCACCAGCTGGGAGAAGCAAAGTGATGGTCCTCCACCATCAACTCCGCTGGACCAGCCACGTTGTCCGGATGTCCGACCACCGTCTCCCAAATCAACATTTACATGAATTATATTGAATTTGCTCCAGTTGGGACTTGCAAATGGATGTATTCTGTAATAAACAAATGTAAAAAGATTTAATATTTATGTAGGCCAGAACTTAGAAAGGGACTTAAGTTTTCGTAAGCGGACATACCTCTGGAGATCCTATATTAATCAGGGGGTTACATTCAATGGCCCATAACACCTCTTCCAACTCTATGATTCTATATGTTGGAAAACAGAACAAAGTAGTTTCTCAACATCTGTATTCAGTGTGAGATGTTACTCCATGGAGCAGCCAGCAATGTGACCGATGTGCAACTGGACCAATGTGCATCAGGACACTGGGTTGGGCGTACCGATATATATCAGGATACTCTTATCCATACCCTGATACAGTTCACTATATGATCTCTTAACATCTCTGCTGTACATGTAAAGTTACACAAGCAATGATAAAGAACTCCAACCATAATTCTTTTCATACACACTGAAAATGCTTAGTGTGTGTTATTTCCTTAATTCTACAATCAACTGTTAAGGCATAGTTTGGGAATGCATGCCCTTCAGACATCATTAAACTGTCAACTCATGAGCTCTAGATAATGTAGTCAATTGTGAAAGATGATGGGAACTGCAGTCCATTCACTTTTGGAAGTCCACATGGTCCTCAGCTGTGCTTTAAGGTAAGCCAATGATATTAACCCACAGATCACTGATCAGGGGTTGAAACATACAGTAACTTATTGAAGGCAATCTAGGGTGCATCCACGCTGTAGAATTAATGCAGTTTAACTCAATTTTAACTGCTCACCCTGGTCCAATGTTATGGAATTATGGAAGTATTGAGTCATGGCAGGCGTGTCAAACAGCACTGATTCTGCAGTGTAGATGTATAGGCTGAGTGAATTCATAATTTGTGGAGCTTTTATTTCCTCCACAGAGCACGTGACCTAAATTTAATCTATTTAGCTGCTAAATTAGCCATAATTTACTACCAAAGGAAAAAAAATGACACATTTACATCATGATGGGAAATGCAGACACATATGGCATTTACCTGTTTCAAGGACAATTATTGCCTCTGCTGAAATCATTGGGGAAAAGAAGAAAACAGGTAAATCAGAGTATTGTTGTTTAATGCAAAATAAGTGAAGCAATTGTCAGCTGCAAGACTGAAAAGGAGTAATTCCCTAAAGCATGTGTACTCAACAAAATCCTCCTTTTTATTCTAGGAATGGCAGGGCCTCCTCCACAAAACCAGAGTGTAAATATTACTTTTCCAGACTCCAGCTCCCAGAATCCCCCAGTCATCCTGTCCAATGATCATGCCAGCCAGGGGATTTTGAGTCATCATCCAAGAAAGTACGTTTTCCAAGCTCTGTACAGAACATACCCGTGTCTAGCCTGAATTATCCCTGATATCTCTGTGGCATTGGTTTCTCAACTTTGCCCTGCAAACCAGTGTTAGTATTAATTCATCCAAATCAAATATTTCCTGTGGACTCTGAGATGGTGGGGGTGGGTAAACACGATTCCTAGACTGACAGGTTGCAAAATTTTCCCCGTGCAGTTTTCTTGTAAAAGAGGCCCATTTGCCTCTCTCTAAGGATTTCTGTAGCAATTAACATTTGCAAAATGCATATGGTGCTACACATTAAGGAATCTCAATGAAAGTTGAAGTAATGTTACTTGGGGAGATGTGTAGTAGACATCCAGAAACAGAGAGTACCAGAATGGTTAAGCCTTCCAAATTCTTGGGTAAGAAGCAATCAAGGACTTTGGTAAGTATGTGCCTCATTCTTAATGCTGCAGTCTACTTGAAGGATAAAGCAAACGGTGGGGAAAGAGGCAATGTAGCTTGGCAGAGGAAAATATTCAGCTTTGACCTGCATGAAATTCCCAGCAGGAAATCCTAATGACTGCGCTTACAGCATTGCTGAAGAATGCTTTATGAGATTGTCAGCATGGCGCACACAAGGAGAACTGGAAGAGAGGGAGGAAACGACCCAAATAAGTTCACAATTAAAGCATGTACACCTTTGCTGTTTACCAGCAAATGATAACTATATTTGTGCATCTGCCATGATGTTTTAGCAGTTCACTTTATTCTTTGGCACTTTAGAAAATGAGGAAGGACCCATCACTGTTGCACACTCTGATCCCTGTGGCAATTCTGAAGATGGCAGCCAGATGTTAAGCAGACAGTTGGAAAATCTGGAGACAGTTATGTGAAGGTTTCACTTCTGCCTGTTAAGCAAGAAGGGGGTGGTAAGGGAGAGAATATGAACTTTAAAAAAACAAAAGATTAATTCATAGCAGATATTAAAGCGGCAATAGCTTTCATGTTCCTCCTTAGTGTTCTTCAACAAAAATAATAATAAAGCACCAGATTGGAGTGAGACTGTTCCCCAGAGGCTGGCAAGCAATTGTAGTTCCAAGAATCAAAATATAGAGAACTGTTGGGGGGAGAGGACACCATGAACACAAAGTGGTGGAATTCAAAGCATTTGCGATGCAATCAATCCACTGTAACCCAGGCTGGGCCATAAAACAGCCACAGCAAATAGGAGTTCTGTTATACCCATGAGGAAACATAATAAACCACATCACGCCTGGCAGCAACCGATCCACAGTCCTGTTTCCGGTGCTATTATTGCAGAACTGCTCCTTAACGCCTCTGGCTGTTTAAACACTGAAGTGGGTTCCTTTGGTTTAGAGGGGGAGGGCCATAAATCAATAGCGTTGTGCCCTTATTATTCAATCAAAGCTCAGCAGATGCTCGTTTAGGACCAGTGCGGATGATTTGTGGCCCTCCAGATGTTTTCTGACTGCAGCTCCCCTGACTCCTCTTCATTGGCAATCCAAACTAAGGCTGATGAGAAGTGGAATCCAGAAACACAGGCAGATTGCTTCCTTCTAATTCAGGCTGTTTTAAGACTCACTATTATGTCTATTAAACTAGCCATGACCTTTATTTAATTTAAAGGGACTTATTATTTCATGTTAGGACAGTGGTTCTCAACCTGTGGGTCCCCAGATGTTTTGGTCTTCAACTCCCAGAAATCCTAACAGCTGGGATTTCTGAGAGTTGTAGACCAAAGCACCTGGGGACCCACAGGTTGAGAACCACTGACAAACAGGAGTGTGCTGTTAAAACATTTTCACAATGAAACAAAGGCTGTTTTACATAAAGGGGCCCACTGGAACTTGCACAACAACAAAACAAGATTTGGGCGGCCAAAATAATTTCTCACACTCAACTTATTGCAGGACAGGGAATCATATGACCCTTTAGATTTTGTTGGACTGCTACTCACAGCATTCCCCAGCATTCCCTTCTTGTGGTTCTGTCTTTACTCATAACATTGAAGGCAATAAGAATCCAATCCAGCATTTTGCCTAGGCCAATGAATGTGTCCTGTGGATCCAAGTCCTTCAAGGGAAGAAACAGAGGAGACGAGGAATGCACTTTTCTCTAGAGCTATTCAACATGCTGTTTGGTCACTAATTGGTTTGGTGTGACATCTGCCTATTAATAAACAGTATCTGTTAAGTGGTGCCAGCATGGTGTAGTGGTTTGAGTATTGGACTATGATTCGGGAGAACAGAGTTCGGATACCCACTTAGCCCCAAAAACCCACTGGTTTTTTATCGTATCAGAAGCTAATTGAGAATATACTGCAAGTCGCTTCAGTACCACTAAACCCACTGAGTGACCTTGGGCAAGTCATACACAGTTTTAGAAAACCATGTGATAGGGTTGTTGGAAATGACTTGAAGTTACACAACAACAACAACAATCTGTTAACTATGAACATGTATTTCTTCTCAAATTTGGCAATCACTCTGACATGTGGAACTATTACTTCGGGCACATGTTCTTGATGCACATGAAAAGTGTGGAAAAAGAAAGTGTGGATCAGATTCAGATGGAAAACACACAAGTGTTGGAAACAGAGATCACCAGGCAGAAGCAAATTCTCATGCCCTCTTGTTGTCTGGGCATTCACAAATGGCCTAGGAGGAAAACATTCCTCGGGTTTATTTTTGGAAACATAAGCATCTGCTAATACTTTCCCATTTTGATGTCTGCAACTTCTAGTATGGAAGCTGAACAGAAGCAGCTGAGCCCTATCATATAGGCACTATAAAGACCGAGATTTCACCCTGAATGTGCCTGCTCTTATATTACTTTGGGAACTAAACACAGACCTGGTCAATAATTGGATAGAAAGCAAGATAAAAATAAAAGGATCTCTAGGTAGAGCTAGGAAAGAATATCATCTGAAACCCTGAGAGCCATTGGAGCAAATCAGAGCTGGATCAATTAATGGTCAGACTCAATATAAAACATCATCTTCTTTTTCTATACATAGGAAGATCCTTATACTAACTTCTATTTGTCTAACACCTGTGATGAAAAGCTTTGATCAATATTGTAGCAGTTTTTAATGCATTTTGAGCTGCTGGATTCCAAAAGCACAATAAAAATGCCATGCCACACACAGTTCTTTTGTTACAAATACCAATACTAACTTCATTCGGTCATATCTTATAACAGGGGTTCTCGAACTTTTAAAGCTGAGGGCTGTTTCACGGTCCCCAAGACTGTTGGGGGCAGAACTATAGTTTAAAAAAACATGACCGAATTCCTATGCACACTGCACATATCTTATTTGTAGTGGAAGAACAATACAATATTTAAAATAACAAGCTATTTAACCAACAGAACCTTACCAGTATTTCAGTGGGAAGTGTGAGCCTGCTTTTGGCTGATTAGATAGTCAAGTTAATTAGGTTCGTTGTTGTTATGTGCCTTCAAGTTGTTTCAGGCCTTAGTTTGGGGACCCCTGTCTTGTAACATAGCAAAAATGTGAAAAATGCAAGGGATGGAGCAAATCTGAGGTCATTTTTGGATTTAGAATACCAAAGTCTTATAAACCACATAATTTTAAAAAAGTTTTTATGACCGTCAAATTTTGTAGGCCTGTGAAATTTGCCATTATTGGTAATGTTTATCTGGATACCTTGAGGAATTATCTCACACTCCACTCACAGACACGTATTGGGGTCTTGGGAAATTCACCCGGTTACATAAGGCTAGTGTTCCCAAACCTGTGTCAAATACCCCTAATTTCTTCTGCTAAGCCATTTCTTAAATTACTCATTGCTCTTTGCGAGCTCATGTGTTATGACTCATATATGTAGAAATAGCACCCCCTTTCCTGATCTGATTGCACCAAAAATAGTTTAATAATGGAGTTCACCAACCTGATGCCCTCCAGACATTTTGAGCCTCTAATTTCTGTCAGTTCCTGACAGCATAGTCCATAGTCAACAGTGCTAGTAATTGTCATCCAAGGCAACTGGAGATAATTTGTAAAGTTGGCAAATGGCTTGTTTTCCGTTGCTTCAACAGAGGCCTTTTCAGAAAATAAGTTATCCACATATCCCAGCAGTTGTTGCTAGAGCTCCACTTTTATTACAGCAAACATGCTTTCTTCTGTCAAAGGACAATTGTTGCAGGGAGATATTAGAATAATAAAACAAATTAAGAGAAGTCTCCCATGCCAATGATCCAAATCCATATTCCTCACAAAGATTGTTTCCAATTTACAGTAGTCTCGATTATCCAACCTTCGCTCATCCAGCGTTCTGTATTATCCAATGCAGTCTGCCTCCCACCCGGATCCACAGCTGTTTCAATACATTGTGATGTTTTGATGCTAAATTTGTATATACAATATTTACTACATAACATTACCTTGTATTGAACTGCTTTTTCTGTCGATTTGTTGTAAAACATGATGTTTTGGTGCTTAATGTGTAAAATCATAATGTAATTTGACGTTTAACAGGCTTGTCCTTAATCCCTCCTAATTATCCAACATTTTCGCTTATCCAACGTTCTGCCAGCCTGTTTATGTTGGATAAGCAAAACTCTACTGTATTTTGGATATGTGAAAATACTCTGGAATAGATGCCTAATGCTAGAATTGCCTAATATGAGGCCCACTGCACCACTCTTCTATGCTTGTCCTGCTTCCTAAGGAGTTTCAGGGCACAATATTGCCATGAAGGCAGATGTCCTTCTACACAAGTCTAAATTGCCCAAATCCAATGCATTTGGACTATTTGACTCACAAAGCAACCTTATCTGTTTTCCTGTCAGGAACATGCACATGGTCACATACCTCCCTAGAAACTTTTATGCACTGTTTCTTCTATTGTATCTACATAGCACCTTTTACATAGATTTCTTGATTTTCAAACCACATCCTGTATGCATGCCTTCTAGTCACCTGTCGATTTATGATGACCTCTGAATAAGATTTTCTTAGGCAAGGAATACTCAAGAGGTGGTTTTGCCAGTTTCTTCCTCTGGAGTGTCACCTATGGCATCTGCTATTAACTGGTGGTCTCTAAATCTAAATACTAACAAGGGATGGTTCTGCTTAGTTTTCAAGATCAGACAGGATGAGGCGCCTTCAGGGTATACATTCGGTTTCCTTTTGCTATCTCGGATTCTTCATTCTACAGACTTCCTCCAAGTTCCTACTGTTTACAAGGGTTGTTGATTTTGAAACACGGGTGGATCTTAGTGTGTGCATGTATGGCATCAGCTTTTCTAATTTACTCATTTCCTTATTCTTTGTCATCTTTTCCTTGGCCTCTGCATTCTATGCTTCCCACATACATGTCTTCCTCTTCAGTTAAAAGCACAAAGCTCCACCCAAGTTTCTCGTATCTCTTACTCTATTCAAGACAATTTTCTATGCCTTAACACCTGCTCCAGTCTCTTCTGCACTTGGTTATTTTAATGGTTATTTTAAATTCCTTTTCTTCACAAAAGTTACAATTGTAAACACATCTTGCTGACAACTTCCATTCTTTATTCAAATGCTGGTAAAGATTGTGTATCTCGACCAGCTTGGTCCATGATTATGTGTGTTCAAGAGTTGCTGGAAAAAGTGTCAGCCAGTTTGGCATCCTGAATTTGGAAACGTTACCTTTTCAGACATGTCCCAGAATCCTTTGACTAACATGGTCATCTGTCTGGTACAAGGAAGTCTAATAAGCTCCGGTTGTGAAATTGCTGACATCCATGAATGGAGATTCTGACAGAGGACCCCCACGCCCCTTTCACATGCCAATGCCATCACACAGTGGGACCCAGTTGGTTGGGAACCACTGCCAGACCACAAATAAAAGAGGAGGCATGGCTGGTAGGCACAACTCCCATCTCTCATCAATGCCCAGAGGCCATATAGAAGAAGACCCCTATTGTGGCCAAGGAAATAGAGCCCTTATTATGAAGAGCTCTTGAAAAATGTTTATTATTGCAGACTTTCATCGATTAATGCCTACCTTGTCAGATATATTCAGCATAATCCTATTTGCAATAAGGGAACAAAGGTCAATAAGGCCAAGAGATGCAAGTCTGTGGCCAACAGAAAGTTGTGAATGCAGGAGACTCAACATTGTCCTTCCCCTTGCCAAATGTTGAGTTCAGAGCTTCTTCCAAGTTTCTAAGGCCCCTTCCACACAGCCGACTAAAATCCCACATTATCTGCTTTGAACTAGGTTATATGGCAGTGTGGATTCAAGGTAACCCAGTTCAAAGCAGATATTGTGGGATTTTCTGCCTTGATATTCTGGGATATAGGGCTGTGTAGAAGGGCCCCTAGAGAATCAAGTGGAGACAAGGAATTTTCTTCCAGACAACCTAAAGAAGTGTAAGCCTACTATACTGTCGATTTATCTTAATCTTTTCCCTTTACCGCTGTATGTTTGTAGTAGGAATGCTAAGTTACAATGCCATGAAAGACCAAACAGACCAAATTCAGAAAACTGTGTGTGCATCTCTTAAGAAATGTTTTCTTATCTAGAATAAATAAATGAAAAATTCTCAGTCTAGCTAAGTGTTAACACCCAACTTAGTAATATGAAGGAAGACAGAGGTGGGTACTGAGAGAGCAATGAGTAGATTATCTCATATTCAAGGGTTCTTGAACATTTGGCAGAAAAGGCAAGTCACACCATGCTTTTGCTACACTAACAGAGGTGTTTGCCATTTTGACAATATGTTTACATTTTCTCTACCCTAGCATAACATATTCTAATAAGCAGGAACTAAATGTGCTCCAATACTGATTCACATGCCGAATTGAAAGAAAAGGTTTCCCTTGACATTATGTCTAGTCATGTCCGACTCTGGAGGTTGGTGCTCATCTCCATTTCTAAGCCGAAGAGTTATCCGTAGAGGCCTCCTAGGTCATGTGGCCAGCATGACTGCATGGAGCACCCTTATCTTCCCGCACAAGCGGTACCTATTGATCTACTCACATTTGCATGTTTTTGAACTGCTGAGTTGGTAGAAGCTGGGGCTAACAGCGGGAGCTCCCTCCGCTCCCTGGATTTGAACCACCAAACCTTCAGTCAGCTAGTTCAGCAGCTCAGCGGTTTAACCCACTGCGCCACCAGGTGAGCCATAAATTGAAAGAACTCATCTGTAAAAACTAAATAAGATTCAGCTTGACCTGACACAGATCTTATGGAAAGTTAGGGGACTATACTAATGATTCTTGTATAAACCCTTTTGGTACGAAAGGATAAGTAGCAAGATAGGATTTGTTTTGAACCATTTACATTTTTTTCTTTTTGCAAGGAAAACCAGTTTCACTGTCAAATTCTTGAAAAAACACTTGGGATTTATTGATTTAAACTGCAAACAGTCGTTACAAAAGATTCTTTTAAATAAACTCACACAAAGGAAAAGAGAGGGGGGAAAGCAATGTAGTGAACAGTAATAGGAAAATTACATTCAATGTGTTCTTTGTGCCAGAACTGTTTACCTTAAAAAAAGCGGAAACACTCCATTCTTGGAATACAGAAATGCAAAGACAAAC